ACTGACTAGTCATCGATGCCGCATGCTCCGGTAAGATTTACAGTGTGTCTTGGTTCTCATGTCTTACAACCAAAGGAATGTAAGTACAGGCCTAAAGAAGAAGAAAGATTCATTAAGACAGGAGTTCTAGACAGCTTTGCAACTAACATTTTCAGAACTCACTAACTTAAAGTAGTTTAAGGAAAAAAGGCTTTGCTGGTGTAGGGTGAACAACTCCTGTTGGTAACAGACTACCTTAATAAAAGGACATGTCCTCCTGAAAATGATTGAGAAACCATTCCATTTGCACTCATGAAATGAGCATTCCTTGGGGCTGTGGTTCTGTTGCCTTTCATATATACAAGGCTTCCTTAGAACTGTGTGAACTCAAAAGAGCTCATTTAATGTCAGGCCGTTGTAGTGGGCAAAGAACTATGTTCCTACTAATGTTTCTATAGATGCTATATACAGACCCTGACAGTTGTAGCAGGCCAGGGAGCCTTTCCAAATAGAATAAACAGCTCTGGCTTGCTCTGCAGCTAGTTACTAGGCAGGGAGGAAATGGGTAGGTAGCACATTGTAACAGCTGGATTGTGTTCACCAGAAGAACAGTAACTCTTCCTGTTGAAGGTCGATGCCACTGCTCTTGAAACAGTACAGTGTGAGCAGTATCTACTATTCCGATCTAAACTGAGCTTCCTCTAGGACACAGCAGCCCAAATTGCAGAGAAACGGTGATGGGAGAAAGCAAACAAAGAGGTGGACATGTATTCCAGAGACTTCAGACACCAACCCTGTCTTTTACTAAGAACAGGTCTTGCTTAGGGGCAGAAATAGCTGAGCTATTTCATTATTCAGTTTCTTCCCCTGCAGATCTTTAAAACAGTAGTAGCAGTAGTATCAAGATCCTAAATACTGAAGAAATTTTGACTACAACTCCTTTAACTCTGAAACATCTTTTTATACTATTTTACTGCACCATTATAAATTACAAGGGTTGGTCGGTTCATTTTTAAAGCCATATGAGAACAGAGTAATTCATGGTAGTGTAACCTGGAAGAAATTCTGGCTTCCCCAAAAAGTGAATGAAAATTATCTAATTAGAGCTGCATATGAAGGAATAATTTGGGCTAGGAGTGGGAGAGTGTTCAAATGTCTACTGATTCATATTTGCATATTCTAATGACTTCTTTTCAACAAAAGCAATAGATTTTGCAGAGCATCAAGACACTTAGCCCCTGAAGTTAAGCTTTTCAACATGTTTTCTAATAGCCTGGGAACTGGTTGAAACAGAACTGTACTTAACTGAAGTACAATCAAAAGTAGAACAGGCCTCTTTCAGTCCCTAAACAGGCCATCTGTTATTTCTTGGAAGTAGTTTTTTGTTTGTACAATTATTAAAACAGATTGCCAGTACCTCTCTTCCTGCCTACACAACCAGCCAGTTGTTTGATTCTAGCCATACACCTTCCACTTTATTTTAACAGCCGTGGCATAGCGGCCGAACCGGTGTTCGTTGGATACTGCGCCCATGAAGCAAGAAGGCACTAACTGCTGCAAAGATTTCTCATCAGCAACCTGAAGTGCCTCTGGGGTATGAACATATATATGCACGTGCAGTCTGGTATTTGAACCAAGACTTAAAATTTTCACTTTTAAAATAAAATTGACAACCTTCCTGGAGTAAAGGTGAGCGGTCTCAAGCTTTCAGAAATGGGGATTCTTCACTGTGAAATCCTGAAACTTGATACCACAGAGTTACCAATTCCAGTTTCCTAGTATTGTAAAGTTGATGAAAAATAAAGCTAAGACACTGTTTACAAAAGGAGCAAACTATCTTTTTTATTTCAAAGTACCTTATCATTTGCCAGCCTTCGTGGTAACCAGATAATTGCAACTCAGAGCAAATCAGAACCATTAGAGCTTAAATCACTCATTCCTAAAGGTAAAAAACCAACTGATCCTCCTTCAACATGTTCCAAGGTGGTAGGTAGGGATTACTGTCCTGGAAGAACTCTGCCTTTCTCGTATTGTTTTGCACAGATCTTACTCAATTTGCTAAATCAAACTCAGGTAGAAGTTACACCCAGTCCTGAACTCTGGTTCATAATTGGTTTCTACCAGTAAAGGAAGTAATACTTATAGTTGTACAGTTTAAAGTGCTTATTAACTACATACCTTTTTTATTCATCTGAAAACAAATCAAGATACAGACTTCCAAAACAGTAGTTATTTCACTGATAGACATAAACTTCACAAACTTTATGCACGAGATTAAGAAACAGTCCTAGTGGCACACTAAGGTGCACTTAGTGCTCATTTCTGTGAAGAGCATTTGCATCACTTCTCATTACAGGTGCCTGTAAGATAAGAATTTGCAAAGCAGCAACTTGTGTTTGCATCCCAGCTTTGCAATTACAAGGCTGTGCCAGTAGATCAGTGTCTCTTGAACCTTCCCCCTTGGACAGTTAAAAGCACAGTCTGTTCATACAGCTGCTAACTCATCATTTACCAGCACCAGACGGTCCCAGACGAACATACTGGTGTGCATAAATAGGGTCCTGAAAATACTCAACACAGAGAATAGAAAATATCATCCTGCAGAGTAGAAAGATCATACCAGCCCCATCCTCCTCTGAAGAAGTGCACTTTGCTCTTGACTGTTCAGGGCTTGGTAACTGGCCAGCTCCAATGTGAAGGTTGCTGAGCCTGATGTTAGAGAACGCAAAACTGTTGAGTAGCCCTGGACAAAATGGAGAACACATGACACTTTAAGATAGCATAGAAAGCTGCTTAGACCACACAGAGAGTCAGAAGTATACTGCAACGTACTAGTAAGTTAATTTTTTAACAGTACTATATTAAAATACATGTATGAGTCAATAATAATATTTAAAAAACACATTCTCTGTAAAACCTGTTTTAGTAGTATTTATTACTTCTCCTACAGTTTAATATGTGCTGGTTTAACAATCTGAATTGGGCACAAAAGCACTACTAGATTTGTGGGCACTTGCTTTGGATCTTCAGTAATTAAAATACAATAAAATCCCATCAATTTAAACTTACATGACAAAAGCAAGAGTGAGCTGAAGCCAATTTTTTCTTGCATAAACAAAAAGATCAGTTTTACCATTAATAAGGTAATCACATACCATCATTTCTGCTAGTGGAACAGCAGCAATCACAACTCTGTTGTCTTGACGACTCTGGATTTCCTGAATACTACCTCTGCGCTGTGCAAGATCAGCAAGTGCTGCACTGAGATGATCTTCACTTACTGTGATTTCTAGGTTCATCAGGGGCTCCAGTATTTGTATACCAGCTTTTTTCAAAGCCTACATGGACATGAAGGAAGAGGAATTATGCTGATGCATTTTGGGTGGTTGGTTTGTTTATTTTTAAAGAAAATTCACATAATGAAGTACCTATATCACTGAAGCTAACATTGTCTCTCAAATTCTCTACTTTCAAAAGATACAGAGTCCCCAGTGAGGGCATTACACTGTCAGAGAAGAACAATTACCAGATATTGATACACATACATTTTCCCAGCTGTGTTCTACAGCACCTTACAGCTCCACTGTACCTTCTGCATGCAACGGGAGACACAGGCTGACACCATTGTGTGAGAGGTGTCCGGATGCACTGCCACTGATTGCACTGTCACATCTATATCCTGAACTGGGAAGCCAAGCAGAGGTCCTGGGCAGGACAGGGGAGAAGAAACAAAAAGAGCATATTTGTTTTTCAGAATATTCAGACACATGCAAAAGTCTTTCAGGATTAATTTGAAGCTTCTCACTTTCCTCTGTGCTCTCTCCTTCCCCATCCTCCCACCAAGGGTGTGACTACTGGTTGTGTTCCTCATTTTGTGGTTCTGTCATTATCTAAGCTCGGCCAAAAGAGGCAAAGGACTGCAGGCTCACACTTCCCTACGCTCTTTAGCAAAAGCACAGATAATTTCCAGAACCAGAAGTTCCTGAGTTCCATACAACTGTTCCCAAAAGTGAAGTTATTTTTAAATACAGGACAGTCTCTAAAACCTGTCTATTGAAACAAGACCTCACTTGAAAACCTTTTGTGAAACAGAAGCCAGAATATTTTCTGCATTTTCCTTTTCAGCACAATATGATCACAGCAAAGCTTGATACTAACCCACAAGTGAAACTCCAGGGTTAACTCAATTCCATAAAGGATGAATGACATCTAGTGTTCTAGGCAGATTATGTCCCTCCAACCCAGGACTCTCAACCAGACCAAACTATTACACTGGAGGTGAGGCCTGAACCACATCTGAGAAAAAACACATTGCTTTTTCCTTACCCCCAAAGGGGGGTTTGTTGGAGTTTTTTGTTGGTTTCGTTTGTTGTTAAAGCACTTAATGGCATAAGTTTTGGGCTGTAGACAGCACAACTCTGAAGTGTCTTCAAGGAACATCAAGACAACACAGGGTTAAGAGTCAGAAATGGGAGATGCTTTCCAGTTCCACAAAATGACATGGAAACAACACCTCATGCTGCTTCCTATAGAAAAATTGTCATTTGTCAATCCACTACCTGTTAATTTTACTGTAAGGCAGGGTTCTTAGGCCACAAGTTATTAACTACTTCCTATTTTTAATCAAAAGCCAGACACTTAGTCCCTTAGAGAGCCCACACTGCAATTAGGTGAGGCTTCTTATTGAAAACTTTCACATATTTAACATATTTGAAGATCCAGAAAATACATCAGTAACACTAATTGAGGTGTGGTGTGTACATGTTGGTCTCTGACACCATTTCTGTTACATCACTGTGCTTTACATGATGTCACAGCTGAGAGAGGACAGATTCAGAATAGATGTTAGGAAAATTTTTTTCCCAGTTAGTGCGGTCAGGCACTGGAACAGGCTGCCCAGGGAGGTGGTGGAGTCACCATCCCTGGAAGTGTTTAAGAGGTGTCTGCATCTGGTGCTGGAGGATATGGTTTAGGGTTTAGGGATCCAAGCAGTGACAGGTTAATGGCTGGACTTGATGATCTTAGAGGTCTCCTCCAACACAGATGATTCAATGATCAATTCAACACCTTACCTCTTATACCAGATTAAAAAATAAAGCAAAGGAACTCCAAGCTCAGTGCTGAGGGACTGAGAAGAAATCAGCCTCAAAATCAAACCAAATGCATGCTGACTTCCATTCCTGGCATAGGAATAAGAGTGTTTGGCAATTTTTGTTGTTAAGGAAATTTCACCATTTTCCTTTGCATCTTATGTACGTGTTCGTATGTACTATCTTCTAGTTTTCAAGCTACCAAGGAGTTTTTCCTTCTAGAAACATACAAATTGCTTCTTACAAGAACACTAGACTGGTACAGCTGTCATAGCACCTCCTTTACCTTGAATGCACGAATTTGTGATTCCATTTTCTATAGCTCCTTGGAGTTCTTTGGGGAGTGTTTCAATGACACTCTCTGCGTACTTGACAATGGGTCTTGTGGTCGCTCTCTCCCCTGACCTGGGCCTGACCTCTAACTCTGCAGTTACAAAGTGTCGTTTATCTCCTACTGTTTTGTCCAATATATCTGTGGGGGGAGAAAAGAAAGTGTAACAAGCATTTGGTAAAAAACCCTAATACATAAAGTTCATCTGAAGGTTACTCATGTATCATTTAAAGGACATCAAGCTACAATACCAGAAACAAGATGTTCCTTCCATTCAGTCACTTTACCTGTAGCTTGGGCAGCATTTAAGATGGTTTCTCGGTATGCTATTTGAAGAGGTCCCAAATAAGTCTCAATTCCATATTCACGTTTGATTCGGTCATGAATGATCTCTATGTGTAGCTCTCCCATGCCACAGAGGATTGTCTGGTGAGAGGAAGGTTAAGAGAGAAGTGGGAAAATGTGCAAAACTCAGGTTTTAATATGAAGTCTTTATGCAGGGACTTGCATGCTTTAAACTGTCTTTTAGAAATACTTTGAATTCTAAGGACCCTACAGAGAAAACATTGCTTTAGGTCATCTGACATAAATACCAAGTAAGTCAGAGGGTAATTACCACTTTTGTGACCACTATAAAAGGTATTTTTACATTATCATAAACACTTTGTAACTCAGACTTTTTAAAATTCAGACCTGTCAAAAACATGCAGAGAGAGGATGACTCCCTCTGTTCTGTAAAGCACAAGTGCACAAGGCTCCGTTTTAGTGTCGCACACAGTACTTAGTACATATGTCATATGAACATTTGGAGTCCTTTTCATTGAAGAAAATCTCACTATGCAAATTAACTCACTGAAGTGTGGTCTTGTCAGTTCTAGAACAAAACTTGGTTATAAGGTGATCAATAGAAGATTCATCTTACTTGTCCTGTGTCAGGATCTAGCTTCACTTTTAAACTGGGGTCTTCACGCTGCAGGCAGCTCAATGCATCATCCAAGTCTGCATATGAATATCAAACATTATATCTAAAGTGACTGCATGTTGGTCTTTGAGAATCAGAGTAAGTGCCTAAATATCACTTTCCTCATAAGGTCAAATCTTATTCTCAGAACAAATCAAAAGGACCCTAGAGAAGCACAGATTTTTGGCAAACAAAGTTATATCAAGTTACAAGTAACCTGCAACTTCTGACTCCCTCTCACAAGTTAATTATGCTACAGAGTGCTTTAATTTAATTATTAACCATACTATTTTCAGAGTGCTTGTATGGAGACAGACTGGAACCTATTAGTGACTCATGAAGGAAGTAAAAAATATTGTTCCTTTTGCACAGATAAGAAAAATGGTCAACTGTTACATGATTTACTTACACATTTCAAGATTAGTCCAGCATGAAAAGTTTCCAGTGCAAATGTACAGAGTATTTTGTATAGATTTTTCTTTTTCTGATTCCCCATTAACTGCTGAGGAAGCAGCTACAGACTGATAAAGTCAGAGCTGACACTGCATATATCTACTTTACAGTCTTTGGAAAAAAAACCCAGAAAAACAAAAGCAAACTAAAACATCCAAACGCAAAAGACAGTGGCTCAGCCTGCACACATGTTGCTCCCATTCTGTGTTCTACCTTGCTCCATTCCATCATACTACACTGGTACTTATCCCTCCTCCTCTTCACCCCAACCAAGTTCAGCTTATTTAGAATGAAGATACAGTTTAAAAGGTATTTCCAAAAAGAGTCAAGTAACCAAGCCCTCTTGTACAGACAGTTGGGAAAGACAGTAATATTACAGGTCACACTGCATGGATGAACCCTAACTAGACACACAGAAGTCTTGGTAAGTGAAGACATTACACCATAGAGTAAAACTGTGAGTGCTGACTGAAAAAACCCACATTTCAAGCTTATTTGTCCCCGGGACACAGTACAGCACACTCATGTGACTGCAGCAAAACCAAGCATTAGTACCTCCACCTCTTGTTTCTAGATGAAGAACTACTACATTCCTAGTCATGAAAACTAGAAAAGTACTAGTACTGCTTGACATAATAGCAAAGGATCCTGACAACCATGATCTAAAATATATCATCGGTGCAAAACACGGAAAAGAGCCTTATTAGATCACTGACTGATAAATCTGTGCAACTCACTCGAGTCAACCCAGTGTGCATGGACTGAGGACAAGTATTGTTCCTTACATGAGAATCTGGTTATGCTTGAATATCTCATTTGTAGAATATCATACATTAGGTAGCTGCTTTGTACCTTGTTGTTTGGACATCGAAGGAGGTTCAATTGTACAGAAGAAGACAGGGTCAGGGATCTCAACACCTGCCAGCAGAAGGCTCTGTATATCACTCACAGACTTCTTTTCCTCAGCATCCCTTCCAGCTCGGCGTGCTGCAGCAAGTGCTGAAGCCTTTGATGACACTATGGTATCTCCAGTGGCTGTCTATACATCACACCCAGTGATCCACGCGATGGGGAGAGGTGATGTGGAAAAAAACACAAAAACCAACAAAAAAACCAACAAAATGCATGTCGAGGCTGGTTACAGTTAAGAAAATCTGTGCAAATGAGACCCATGAAGATTGTTCAGAAGTAAAACACTGGAGTATTAAACTAATCGTGAAACAAAGTAATTTTAACTTAAACTGTTGCTTTGGGTAACTTATTTGAAATATCATTCTCAGGTGGTCTCTTTGTGGCATTACACTGCAGCTTAAGAGTTACAGTATAAATACAAGCTCAGCCCTAATAAAATATACCTTCAGCTTGCAGTCCTTTCAAATCAGCACTGCAGCTTCCAGGTCAGTTACTGACATTGGTACACAGTGATATTGCAGGAGGAACTACATGTAAATGTACTTCAACAAAGCAAGTTTACATATGTCACTGTGATCAAGAACATGTCTGAGATAAAATACTGCAGGAGCAGAAAGCACACCACTTGGACAAGCTCCCTTACAGTATCAGTGTTTTTCATTACCTGTTTTAACCCAACAGTGAGGGCAATGTTGCCAGGCATGAGTGATGGTATTTCGATCTGCTGATCAGCAAAAGGCAGGAGCAGACGGCTCATTCGCTCTCTGAAAATGGAATTCTTGTGTTACTTGGGAATTTAACAGACCTCCCAATGCTGCACTAAACCACACACCTATTTTACTCACGTGCAGTCCTTGTTAGTGTTATATACAGCTGACTGAGGTTTCAGTGAACCTGAGTAAACACGAACAAAAACCAGTGGTCCACGACATTTATCATGGAGTACTTTAAATGCTAGGGCACACAGGTCATCCTTGTACCACTGACTGCAAAATAAAAAGCACAGCAAAAACCATACTTGCAGGACTGATCCACTCAAACTCAAGCTTGCCTAAATTTCCCCTCGTTTAAGGGGTGATAGGTTTCTTATTGTAATATTAATATAGATTTTTTAAAACCTTAATTTGTACTGAAAAATAATACCCTAAGCAGTTCCAGCTCCAGCAGGACATCGAAGATGTCATGTGACTCAGTTAATACTAAATATGATCCCTAGACTCCATTTTTTGTAAAATAAGTATACCTTTAGGTTAAAAAAAGACTTAACAACTCCAAAGTGCAGGTTTGACAACTGGAGATAAATGCATAAAATTCTAGCACTGTTGACCAAAGCAGGTTCAGTACTCAGGTGTATTTTTCTGTCACTCATACCTACTGTTATTTAACACCCAAAAAGAGTAAACATTTTGAAAGAATACAAAAGCTTTGAGAACACTTTTAGTTTTCTCCCTTTATGCTTTCCTACTTGTTTTTCCTTTTTTCCTGAGCCTCCTTTTCTCCCTGTACTTACAGGAACTCATATGAACGCTCATTAGGTGCAGGCAGGTACATAGTAATAGCATCCAGCAATGGCTGTACCCCTTTGTTCTTCAGTGCACTGCCACAGAGCACAGGAACTGCTTTCTGTGCCAGTGTGACTCTGCGGATAGCAGACTGCAACTGCAAAAACATAAGCATTGTCTGTCAACACACGAACTACAATTCAGCCTTAAACCACACTCCAGCTATCAGATATTGCTAACAAATCCCCCAAAGTTGAAAGTATGTTTGTAAATCCATCAATCACCCAAACTCCTTCTGCTGCTTTGAATGAGATCCAAACCATAAGCCCAAATGTTTAATTGCTAAAACAGAAGACACTGGTTTTAAGGTTTCTACACACTTCATACAGATCTGCAGCTGTTCTTGTTCTACCTGTCCTTTTCATTTAGAATGTTATACCTCATTGCTTCCAACATGCAGCGTGTGAAGCTCCAACCAATCCATGGTGGTTGAGATCCTACTTTTGTTAGTAAAAATCAGCAGCTCAGTAACAAACTGCATTGAGTCTACCTGGAAGTTCCGTTCACCTTTCCCTAAACTCTTTCCTAGCAGTCTAACTTTCAAAAAAAACCCAAAACCAAACCCACCTTCCTGAACAAATGTACCCTACTTTTAAGACTGTGCCCAGCATGCCTGAGAATCACAGTGCATTTCATACTAAGCTCAAATACATTCTATTCTACCTCCACAGTACTGTTAATTCACTACAGAAGCTGGTGTGGTTTTTTTTGTTGATAAATCTGCAAAATCGTAATCTGTATGTACTAAAGGAAGAATAAAATAGCCCCTCAAAATAACAGCTAGCAAACCTTTGTTTATAAATAATGAAATGTAAAAATTACCTTGTCAGCTGGTATTAAGTCAAAATTTTCACTATGTTCTCCTAGAACCAGTTCAGCAAATTCATCATCCAGATCTGCAACCTTCAACAGAGGAGCTTTATTACTGGGCATATAGCATTTCACAGACAATTCACAAATCTTACTTAGGATATATAGCTAAACAGAGCAGGAACAAAGCCTTTGAAAGACATCAGAAATCATAAACTCAAACCACAGAAAATTATAGAAATAAAGATTTCAAGAAAGGATGGGGGAAAAAAACATGAAAACCACTTATAAAGCTGCTGTCGGGCAAAACATCAGAGGCAGAGAGTGCTTGTACTTCTCCCTGCAGTGGAAAAAAAACCTTCAGCCATACAGTGCCTGCCATGGAGGGTAAAACTGACTGTACTTCAGATTTACAAACACAGCAAAGTCTGTAACTGTTGCTCGCCAACAGATATTCAGTTGGAAAAACCAGACACGCATCAGGGAATTTTTTGACCTTCTTCATGTCAAAGGCTTGTAGATCCAAGAGAATATCTTTGTTTTCAAACTGTACCACTTAGCTTGACATATAACTACACTTTAAACCTCGTCTCACATACACCTTGCACTGTCACAGACTCAGGAAACCCACGTGCAGGAAGGCACTTTGTCCCCTCTAATGGCTACAACACCAATTGACCAAATTCTGAAATAAATCCTTGATAAGCAGCTAGAAGTCTAATCAAGCTAATGCTTAAAACATGAGAGACAAAGAAAATAGTTCATTTAATTAACTGAAATTAAACTGTGCCAAATGGCTGGTATTCAAAATACTGCGTTTTACAGTGTTTCTGATAAGGACTGGTAATAGCACAGAAAGCACTTCATAAAATATTTTATGAGCAAAAGGTTATCTCAGTTATCACACTAGTGGTCCAACCCATCCTACTTCAGGAAGGACCCAGAAAACAAAAGGAAAAAACCCAACACTGTTCTTAAAAAGCTTTCTATCTGGCAATACGCTTCTGAAGATAAAAGGCTGAGTAATAACACCCCATTTAAAATTAAGTTTGAAAACCCAGCTGTGTATGTGTTCTACTCAACTCACAGCAATAGAAAACAGATGCCTCTGATTCTGGTATTTCAAAGGACACTAAAAGCCTAGCATCATCTCTATGTGCTTGCACAGTGTTACTCAAAGTTGAATGGAAGGCAGCCCTTCCAACAAGACAGATTGACTTATGATTAGATTGAGCTACCTCTAAAACAGTATTTTGTGCCATTTTGACAGCCTGCAACATCCCATCCACCTCCTGGCTGCCACTCCAGAAAACCCTGCAGGTTCTGGGTCACATCTGTCAGGCCTCATGTGAATGTACCAAGTACCTTGTGGCACCTAAAGCATACAAGATATCTTGTTAGCCAACTGAATGACAAATTTAGTGTCCGCTTTTTTCAGTTCCCTATTTTTATAAAGCAGGGAGTATTTTCCATTTTGTACATCCAAGGACTCCAGCTCTATAATCAGCATGTTTTGTCATCACACATTTATGTTTCCAATGTGTGTTAAGCAACTTTCACAGATGGAAAGGAAGTGAATAAAATCTGAAATTAGTTCAGCAAGGACAAACACCTAGAACAGAAGAAATCCATGTGCTGCTACAGAGTGGGGATCAACTAGCTAAGCCACAGCTCTGCAGAAGTCAAACAGAGGGTCATGCTGGACAAGTGAGTCTGAGTCAGTAGTGCTCCCTTCCAGTGACAAAGGCTAACTGCATACTAGGCTGTATCCAGAAGTTCACAGTCAGTAGATTGGGGCAAGCAGTTAGCACCCTCTACCCTGCACTTGTGAAGCTGCATCTGTCTGCTTTTAGCTGCTCCAGCATGAAAGAGACTGACAAACTGTAGGAAGTCCAGTGGAGAACCACTAATAGAGCTGCAGCTGGAGGCCCAGAGAGATGGGCCTATCTAACTCGGAAAGGCAGGATGCAAATGCTGTTTCTCATGACTTGAAAGATGGTGGTGGGCCTGCTTCTGGGGAAAGAGAGCCAGATTCTTCTCATAGGTACAGAGGAAAGGACAAGAGTGGCTGCTGCAGGCTGAGACATGGTGAGTTCTCACTGGACAAAAGAAATACTGATGATCAAGCACTGGGACAGGCTGCCTAGACAGACTGTAATCACCATCCTTAGACTTGAAAACTCAAGTGAACGAGGCCTGAACAAGTCCATCTAATGCTGAAGTCAGCCCTGCTGTGAGCAGATCACTTAACCAGACACCTCCAGAGGTCCCTTTCAGCCTATTTTTCCTACTCTTCTAAGTAACTGTTTTAAATATATTATGCATTTACTTTAGAACTTTACTTGTTCTATTAAGGCATTTCTGGCATCCTGGACTTCTTGGAACAGGTTCGGATCATCAGCCTCCAGCAGCAGCTTTCGCTCAAAATTTTTCCCATCATCCGAATCAGAAGTAGGTTTCCAAATTATCTGTTCCTTAGTCACGACATCAATCAGTCCTCTAAAGGTCTTGGCTTCCCCAATGGGCAACTGCAAATAGAGTGGAGGCTTAAGACAGCTGCAAAACATTAAGAAAGAAGTTCCATTTGAAAGAATACAAATAAACTTTTCATTTCTAAGCTTACCTGTAATAGCAAAGGTTTTGTCTTCAACTTCTGTTTGATGCTCTCAACAGCATATGTAAAACTATATAAAAAAACAGATACCGAGTTACACAAAACTTAATGACATTAGTAAAATAAATTTACCATTCATTATTTACTGCAAATTACTCCTACAATTGCACAAAAATATGCATTTGCATAATCAAAGAAGTGTATAATAAGTATTAACATAATTGGGTTGCTCTATGCTTAACAGGAAAACTTTATATTAGAGACATTCTCTTACAAGATTTCTAGCAATGATTACAGTAACTAAGTACCTTGCCCTGGTTTTGTCCATTTTGTTTAAGAAGCAAATTCGTGGTATCTGATGTTTGTCTGCTTGTCTCCAGACTGTCAGAGTTTGTGCCTAAAGCAAAAGACAAAATGGAAGCATTAGTGCTGATAGCTGAACTGTACATGCCCCAACACCACTGAGGCTCTGAGTTCAGAGTACAGAAGGGAACTCTGCTAATGGGTTGTGACAAGCCCCTGCCTAGCAGCAGAGATGAACTCCATGAGCAGCTTTGTCTTGTCTCAGTCTCTCAGCTGTTGTCATTCCCGTTCCTTCACTAAGGGCATGCAGGCATATGGGTAAGGGAATATGGAGAGAACCTAAGCATTACAAGGGAAATACATGGGAAAAACTCAGTTATGTGAAGACTTTAGACTTCACTGCCAAATTACTTAAGCACACACAGGCAAGCATGCAACACTAGAAACTGCTGTGGGTTTGCTAGTAGTTTGAGCCACTCATCCTATGCATTTTTATTTGAAAGTTAAAATAGGTATAAATACAAATGAGTTTGAATTAAGAAATAGTTGCTTACCAATACATGGAATAAAGCAAGAATTTGTATCAGAAAAAACCCCACACAGATCTAACTGTTTTGTTGTTGGGAGTGGGGACTGTTACTCAGTTCAGGTGAGTATTTGATGGCACCTAAATGTTTCCCAATAGCACGTTAAGTAACGTGGCTTACACTGACCAAGAGTTCTCTCACCCTCCTCTACGATAAAGGTACATCCCACGAGAGACAGTGATTTCACATGCAGCTTTTCTACATGACTGGACTGCTGAAACATCTCATGCTAGAAAAAGCCCAATTTCAGCCTGCCTCCACCTTTCCTGCACTACAACCAAAAGGGCATGTTAAAAAGGCCATCAGGGAGGCAGAAATTCTGGGTGAAAATTAGTAATTTTCTAGACGAAATCTGAAAATGAGAAATGGACAGATATTCATTTCTTTCTCCTTGTGGAACTAGCCAGAAGCATTCACCTCAATCAATGTTTGCAGAAGGCAGCAACAACAAAAATGCCCCAAACTTTAATGGAAATCCCAGCTATTTTCTGCTTATTACCAAGTAAAATTCTGTGCACTACAGAGAACCAAATTAAATGCTCAGGTTCCGGAACCTGAATTTTGATCAAAGCATCCAGAGATATAATACAGAGAACATCTCTATACATTGTTTCAGTTTGATTTAAGTCATTAGACACACACACACAAAAATTTACCAGCTGACTTTACCTCAACACCAGCTGAAGCATCAAACACTGCTACTGCTCCATCCAGGACTCTCAAGCAACGCTCAACTTCCACTGTAAAGTCCACATGACCTACAAAAGAAACCTCCTTTTATACTATTATATTCAACCAGGCAACACCAACAAGTCATTGCAAATTTAAACATTTGTTCCCCCAAATAGTGTCAAAACAACTCAGCTTGCAGAGAAATACACCCATCAGTCTTTGAAATACACAACAAGATTGTTACAGTTCAATCCTAGAACTCAGAACAATTTAGGGTGGAAATGTCTGAGCTCACTAATTTATACAGATAGATTAGGCACCAGCAAACAATAATTATCCAAAGCTGAACAGAGCTCAGTCTAGGTCTCTTTATTGATGCAATTCAACCAATTAAATTTTGTACCATATTTAAAACTAAGACATTCTATGTGACATTTTGTGACACTCCACCTCACCCCTCTTCCTTAATAATACAAGTACTGCTCAAGAACAGTACCTGGGGTGTCAATCAGATTGATTCTGTAGTCCTTCCAGTCAAATGTGACAGCAGCAGACTGAATGGTAATACCACGTTCTCGCTCTTGGACCATAAAATCTGTCACTGTGTCTCCATCATCAACATCTGTAAACAGGAAGCAGGATTGAGTAGGTAAATGACTCAAAATCTGAAATTGTCTTCGAATACAGGTGTCAAGAAAGAGTTGGAAATACTGTCCCTGTTATATATATATGTATAAGCTATGAAAATAAGCCTTTTTCAGATCATTATAATGTCAGGTAATTTACCCAGATTCCCCTTCTAAGGAAAAAATGCTCTGCACGTTAGTGACAAGCAATTCCAGCAATCTTTTTATTGTTCTTAATCTTAGTAACACCATAAGAATCTTAAACTAAAGCAAAGTCCAAAATTATGAACAAACCAGGTTTAACACACCTGGCTGCACTGTATTGAATGTAACTGGCAATTTAAAATCTGGCAATCAAAAGGTAAATGCAAAGTAAAAAAAAAACCCAAACAACAAAAAGCCCCAATCCAAAACAACAACAAAACACCCAAAACAAAAGGTTGGGTTTTGCTTGAGGTTTTTAAAAAACTTCTAATAAGCAGAGAAGCAGTTCCGCATTTTTAAACAAGCAGGACATGAAGCTCAACAGCTCCACAAGCCTAACATCTTCCATCACTCTCATACACAATAGAGAACAGGGAATTAAATTTAGAAGGTCAAAAAGCAGCACAAACAGAGGCTGCTGTGACCCTTTCAATCTTGAAGAATTCTGACAGGAGCTGTTGAGGTAAGGAACTCTTCCTGTGCTATAGCTGCGAAGAGAAACAGATACTTTTCCTTAATCTGGTTTCTTTACAGATCAAAAGGGAACTGAAGAAAACAGCTTTACCAGAATGGCCAATAAGCAACAAGTAAAATAAGGAGAACTTTTAATTAAATGTCAACCAAAACATAATGAGCTAGAGACAAAAGAAAAATATGAACCTGTGATCTCTCAAAGCACAACTTCCTTAGAACAAAGTGGGATGTACATTAAAATGCCATTAAATTGTACCACAACTTTGGAAAAACTAGCTTCTACACGTGGTATTCCACCAGCAACCTCCAGCTGCATTGCATGGCATTGTGCACTAATAAATATCTCAAAGCTACTGAAACACGAAACGTATTTCTAACCTCCAAGTGTTCTTGTATACCCAGAATAATACAGCATTCTCTCTGTTGTCGTGGTTTTCCCTGCATCAATGTGGGCCATAATGCCAATGTTTCGGATCCTGCACGAAGTGAAAACAGTGGGTTTAAGTGTGGTAGTTTTCAAATTCCATTTATTTATTGTAATTTGCATAAACAATATTCACAGAGAACAGCACAGAGGATTTATCACATCTTTGCTGCATATCTGATACAGTGCACACTCTAATACTGAAGGACACAGGTATTGAAACAGTGAATTTTCTTCAAATCAGTAGTACTGAACAGTTTTGCAACACGTTTCCATACTCCAGGGAAGGCCATGTCTTGGCCTCATCCTCACCCACCTGCCCTCCCCACAGGTCCCTCCAGCCTCTCATCCATCCCAATGGACCTAGGGCCCAAAACAATCTATTGAATATATACCCTTTATGCCCTAAGTTCCCACAACACTGTCCTTGATTCTGTTCAGCCACCTCTTCCTGTCTGAAGTACCTCACCAGTAGCTTCCAGAACTGCTTCACTTGCTCTGCACAGCACAGGTTTGCAGTCAGCTCCTGTGTTCACCATTAATGCTAGCTAATCAGTCCTTCAGGACAGAGCAGCTTTCCAAGGGAACTTCACCCCCAAGACATTTCCTTGGCAGCTCCCTCATTACTAAGGCCTCATCTAACGTGGCTGAGAGTTTCCATGAACACAAAGTACACAGCCCTGCCCACAGCAGAAGTCTAGTTGCCAAGATATCCCTTCCCCTTTTTTCAGCTCCCAGCAACGCCACTGATTTGGAGCTTCCCTAAAAGCCCAGTTGTGATTCTGATGACATAAGCAAAACACAGTCCAAGACCTCTCTGATGTCAACAAGCATCCTTGCCACAAGGATGTCACAGGGGCAAAGGTAAGGAAGTACTAACTTTCACTTAAACATGCACATGTGACAGGCATAGCAGCAAGCCATGACTCTTTATCACATCCATTGCTCTGAGTGCCACATACATCCAAAAAATAAGCTAGCAGGACATACCTGGATATATGAGGATTAATGACAGAACGCAGAGACTTGACATCTCCTGGAGACAAACAAAACAGAACAACAATTTTTAAGACTGAGTCCAATGCAGAAATACAGTTAACAAAACGTCTAAAAACCTTGCATTAAAAAGAGAGATTCAGACCCCCAACTTGTGACAATCTGTAACCTCTAACACCTCAAACTTCTGAAGAGATGTACTTATTTTCAATAACTCTCCTTCTCAAGGGGAAAAAAAGAGAGAAATTCTTCAAAAGAGCTGAAATTTAGAAACAACAGGAAAAACCCAACATAGAAAAGTATCATCAGCAAAGTATTCTCTTAGAAGCAATAACAAAACATGCTTCCATTTAAGACAACTGTAATGCTGACAGTCATCTGACCTGGCTACTGGATAATAAATTTCAACAGCAATTTCTCCTTTAAACATTGAAGCCAGATAATTCTCAGGGATAAAAGCCAAACTGACCTGAGCTAAGAAAATAGGGGATTGGGAAGTTTTAAATGCTATTTTTCTTGCAAGATAGATTCTCTTTCACCCTATTTATTTGGAAAATAAGTTGCCAAGATAAATTTTTATGCAACTAACCTGAATTCAGTTACTCAAGCTGAGTATAAATACAAAATAAGAACAATTTAGAAATACTAAATATGAGATGTAGTACAAAATAAACTGCAATTTAGAAAGCATTCTTTACTCTTACTCAGTTTTAAATCACTCTTTACTATTAAGAGAACTATTTAAACTCATACCTGGTGGAGAACTGTATTTTCTTAGGCTGCAATTTAGCTGTGTCACACTTAGGACTCTCATTTTTGCCTTCCTGAAATATACATGCTTGAAAGAAAAAAGAACCATATAGAATATTTATCACTGTAACTAATTACTTTGTAGCTGCATTTTTTCCAGTTGTAGCAAAATAAACTAAACCAAAATATCTACAGGAACAGATGCTGTTGTTAGATGTTTATATAAGTTCAAAACACACCAACTACTTGGAAGCACATGCATGGGGATAATGCCCACACTGAGGTTTAAACCAAGTTTGATCCCAATAACTTTTAGAATATCCAGTAAAAATCTCTGATGGCATCAAAATATGTTGTCAGTAGCCACAATGTTTTAAATATGTCTAATTATTTGTGTAAATAATACAAATTTAACACCATCAAATATTAAGTAGTCAAAATCACAGATAACTAAAAACAATTGACATAAAAATTACACATTTGACTTCTACATTCTGACTCATCACAAACTCAACTTCACTCTGAAATACAATTCCCACGTGAAAATATCTATTTGTTATTTATTTATTGTATTATTTATATCTAACCTTTAAAGGAAAGAAAAAAAAAAAACCCAGGCACCAACACCACAACCAAAAATGTTTACTCAGAATACCCCAAGTATTTTCTTCGCTCAGAGGAAGCACCAAAATTTGGGGAAAATTTACCTTATTGCACAGACTTCCAGCACTCACTGGAAATCTTCTTGTAATCCCCAACATTCTGGTTAAATCAACATTCAGGTTAAGTCAGCATCAGATCTGTAAAAACCAATGTTATTAAGCCTTAAAAATGCAGCATAAATGCAAAGACTAAATGTATTTCTCAAAGAAGTTTTCAAACAGTAAAGCAGAACAAGGACCATTAGTGTTTACACTTACTCTCAGGTAAGCTCTGGAGTGAATACTGATGTGCAAATAGCTTTCCAGGCCTTGAAGAATCATAGAATTTTAGGGGTTAAAATGGACCTTAGAGATCATCCAGCCCCAATCCTCTGCCATGGGCAGGGACACCTCCCACCAGAGCAAGCTGCTCAAAGCTTTAGGCAACCTGGCTTTGCACACTGCCAGGGATGGAGCATCTACCACCTCCCTGGGCAACCTGTGCCAGTGTCTCACTACCCTCCCAGGAAAAAACTTTTTGCTAATATCTAACTTAATTTTCACCCTCTTACAATCTGTACCCATCGTGCCTTGTCCTGTCACTGCGACTCCTGACAAAGAGTCCCTCTCCAGTTTTCCAGTAGTCTCTTCAGCCACTGGAAGGTTGCTATGAGGTCTCCACACAACCTTCACTTCTCCAGGCTGAACAGCCCCAAATTCCTCAGCCTGTCCTCACAGGGGAGATGCTCCAGTCCTCTTAGCAACTTTGTGGCCTCCTCTGGACTTGTTCCAACAGTTCCATTGTCCTTCTCATGTTGAGGGCACCAGAACTGCACACAGCATTCCAGGTGGGATCTCACGAGAGCAGAGTAGAGGAGAAGAAGGTGCAGGGCAAAGGACCCATTTAGGACAGAAACAACGGAAAACATGAAGTACTATGACCTCTTAAGCACTGTAACACAAAGCTCAAGCACAGCAGCTTTCAAAGTATTCGTAGCAGGCTGCTGCTTATTTGGGGAGATGCCAATGTCTGGCTTCAGTGCCTTCCTGCTTCATGGTAGTTTCACAATAAACAGTAAGCAGCTTATAGAAGCATAGAACAGAATCATCAAGGTTGGAGAAGACCTCTAAAATCATGAAGTCTCTGTGCAGCTCTGGCATCCTTGATGTAAAAAGGATGTGGAACTGTCTGAGCAAGTCCAGAGGAGGCCATGAAGTTGCTAAGAGGACTGGAGCATTTCCTCCATGAAGACAGGCTGAGAAATTTGGGGCTTCTCATCCTGGAGAAGAGAAAGTTGCCTGCAGACCTCATAGCAGCCTTCCAGTATCCAAAGGGGCTACAGGGAAGCCAGATAGGCACTCTTTGTTAGGAGCTTCAGTGACAGGACAAGGGTTAGCAGATGCAAATTGAAAGAGGGGGAAAATTTGGGTTAGGTATTAGGAGAAAGTTTTTTTCCTGTGAGGGTGGTGAGACACTGGCACAGGTTGCCCAGGGAGGCTGTGGCTGCCCCAACCCTGGCAGTGTTCAAAGCCAGG